CTGAAAACAAGCTAAAAGGCTAAAGGGAATACTTAAAAGACAAAAAAAGACAAGATGAAGAAATAGACATGGTCTAGGAATTCTGTCATCGTCAAGTAAGAGTTAAATGAGCAACGATACCAATGTAGATATAAACCCTAAAACCATCTCAAATTCACAAAAAAATAACTGACATCCCAGCTGCAGAAGAAAGCATGCTAAGACTGTCTTCCTTAAACCTTGGGGGAAATCTCATAAAGGCATCCTTCTTTGGTTCTTCTTCTGCCAAATAAAATTAAGAAAAAGAAGCTAAAAATTACAGAAAAGCTTCAACAATACAAGATATGAATACAGTGTCTCCTGGATTACTAACCATTTCCTACATGATAACAAAATAATTAAGTTTCCCAAGGAACAAGGTCATCAATAAAGTAGAAGACCCTGAGAGACAAGAATTTTCTAATTACCTTAAATCTTAACTCCAAATAGTTCTCAAAATCATTTTTAACCAAACTGGACTTTCATCAATCCATGATCAAAGACTCACTGAATCCAACAGCTTTAGCCAAGACCCACTCTGGGCATTTTTAATATCTTAATCGAGATTTATTAAAAAGTAAACTTTAGGAATCTCAGAAAAGAGACTTTAACCTCTCACACCTTAATACACTTTATTTTCCCCCCAATACATAAATTGCAGGTCCCTTCCCTGTTGGAAAGCACAAAGGAACCAAATCAAGTGCTAGTTTATCTAAAGTGTAACTGTCCTACCAAACATATTTTTTAAAAAGAAAGGGGTTGGGGGTCGGGGAAGCAGCTGAACTAAAATTACAGGCTGTCATGACATCTCAATATCAAAAACTAAATACCTGGTTCCACAGGAGAGTACGCTTTTTATTCACAATCCGTTACTAAGCAACGATAACAATGGCTACATGAGCTTTCTAGAAGCTAGCGCAATTGATGGGCGGGGGACCTAAGGAAAGAAAAATGGGGAAACTCCTTGCTTTGGGAATCATAATCTTAGGATAAACTCAATGTAAACACAAAAACAAAAACTAACAAAACGAAAAGCAATCTAAACTTTAGCAGTTTCCTAAAGAACACAAAAGGTGCATATATCATTCACTTTAATTTCGGTTTTATTTAATTTTAAAATTCACATTTAACCGCTGATAATAATCTCCTTACTGTGTTTCCTTTGTGGGTCCCCTTCTTTCTTTCACCCTCCCTAGGGAATAATTTTTTTTCAAATTTCCTTACTGATTAAAAGAACATTTTAGACCTCTTAAATCCATTCCTTTGTTTACAGAAGCTATAAAAACTAGTTTACAATTGTTTCATGTTGCCTCAGCTTTGAACCGAGAACACTCTTGGACATCAAACTACTCCTTTGAAGAGAACAGTCTCTCAAATAGAGCCAGACAATTTCCCAGCCACTCCCTGAAGTTTAGACAACCAGAGCTTTGCAAATGTCTTGTTTTCAAAGTTAGACTATACAATGTAGCAGGCCCTAGACCAATGTCTCAGATTGTGGGTTGCATTTGAGGGGGAGAGGGCTTTTCATACATGTTCCAAGGGAATTATACAGACTAGACCACAAAAAGCCAAGGAGCAGGTTAGAAGGCAAGGAGAGAGATCCTCACTGAGTTTTCCTTCCATCTTTCCTTGCAGCTTTCAACATTGACTGCAATGCTGGGATAGCTCCAGAAGCTCTATTTGCTAAATATCTATTCTACAGAAGGCTGCTTCTCTCTTTCCATTTCTCTCTCTCTCTCTCACCCCCTCCCTCCCTCCCACCCTCTGTTCCTGAAAAAATGCTAGGATACTAGGTAGGCAAAATGAAAAACAAAGTTTTAGACTCATTTTTCTACATCAAAGCTGAGCAATCACTGTGTGGCTCTGTTCCCAAGGTGCCTCTAGATTCCGATAAATCTCTATTTTAAGAAGAGAAAGCCAGAGACAAGTAGAAATTTAAATACTGGAAACTGGAGATTCAAAATGTCTCAGCCAAGAACCACAGGGAAATGACAAAGTCATTTCTGCTTTTAGATCCCAAAGATAAAGATGGTTTTCTCAGATTCCCTGAGGAGCGTTTGGAAGAGGAGGCTGTTTGGGTCCCCTGTTTTTAATTAAATTTAATTTCTTAAATTTGATGCTCATTTTGCTTTTTTTTAAGACATAAACAATGCAAAGTCTAGTCTTTGTAATCACTAAAACCACAAAGCTCTGCTACTTGAAATAAAGCAAATAAAGAAAATTCTTCACAAATAATTATTACCTCTACTGGCAACAATAAAGAAAACTTAGCACTTACATAACACATGTCATGATTAAATTGATTTAAAAGTTAATTGGTTAGCTTCAGAGTCTACTCTGTTTACATTTTCTGTGGCTAACAATGTAGACAAAGTGAACATTCTAAAAAACTTAAAAATAAAATTTTTTTTTCAGGATTCTTCGATTGTTAAAATTCCTATATTTGCTTACTATAAAAACTCATGGCTTTCTTCCATATCTTGGCCATATATCCAAAGACTCTTAGAAACTAATGGTCACCTATATGTGTAAGATACAGTACATCGAAGTACTGCCTATAATTGCAAATAAGTGAAAACAAGACAGAGTCGGTAAATTATGACACATTCATACAATGGAATATTATACAACTGGAAAAAATAGAGAACACTTTATGTATGGTAAGGAATGATATCCAAGATACATTTTTTCATGGAAAAATGCAAAATAAAGAATACTACATACAGTAGGCTACTAACTTTTTTAAAAGAAAAAACATGTACACATAAATGTTCAGTTACATGTAAAAACAACATCTTTAAAAGGATAATAAATATAAAACCTGGTAAAAGTTTTAACTCTGAGGAGAAAAATTGGACACTTGGCCTTATATGCCCTTCTGAATCTTTTTTACCATGTGAATGTGTTGCTTATTCAAAAAAAAGTTTTTTAATTTAAAAAAAAAGTCATGTTACTGACAAATTTTAATATATACAGATGACATGGTGATTCACTATCAGCAAAGCTTATGCTTCTCAGTTGACAAGAGTGTTGATGGACTTACACAAATGTGTGAAGGAGAGCCCACACCAGTATAATTTTCTAACAGGACATTCTAGAATTAAAAGTGTAATCTAAATTGCTCTAATTCTCCTTTAGAGACTGTCCCCCAGCCCCTTTAGATGCTGATGCTCTTACTTTTGGATATAAATGGTACAACCATGCAATGCAAGGGGCTTTTATGTTTGTGAATTTTAAAGCATTTGAAAACTATTTCAGGAGGAACAAATACTATTCCCTGCATTTGAAAAAAGAGGTGAGGCAAAATCTAGGTGGCTTAAGGTCAACTAATAAGTTACAAAAAGACACATCAAAACAACATTCTAAAAGCCTCCTCAAAACCAACTTTTTAACCAACAGAATCCTTCTAAAAACATGTTTGTATATGTACAAGGACATGCACACAAAGAAAAAGACAGAAAATGAGTAAGCATTTAGTGATGATCAAATCCTTATTTATTCAACAATAGTTGGTTATCTACTAACTGTCAAAGAGTGAACTAGATACAAAAATACGAGTTAAAAATATAAGTATATTGTGAAAGAGCAAGTATCCCAGTTAGAAGAGGGAAGTGTCGAGGCAGGGGAGGCAATGTCTGAGCTGAGCCTCGAAGAACGGAGAAGATGATGTCAGACAGAAAGGAGATGGGGACATTGCACACAGAGGTGCAGCATATGGAGGCTGGGGAACAGGGGACAGCTGCGTACAGCTAGAGAGGTGGGCTCCTGGCGGAAAACGCAGGTTGAACAGAAGGTGAACACTACTTTGGGAAGGGCATGTATATCAAACTAAAGGGCTTGGACTTAACAATGTACACAGCAGAATATAAAGAAAAATCAAGGTTCCAAAAAGATACAAAGAGATGATCTAAGGGAACAAAATAAGATTTGTAAAGAAAGGTTAAAAGGCCAAAAGTTATGATACCTGATAGACCTCAAACCCAGGAAGTCATCTTCCGCAGATTGATAGCAACAGCTATACTCCATCTTCACTGATGGCAGAAACAAAGGTTAAGTACTCAGTTCTGGTGATGCTACAATAAAGGGTGAGTGAAAAACACTGAGCGAACAAGTCACCCCACTGAGAGAGAAGGCAGGACCCTGGATAAAAGTTGGGAGAATGGGCCAAAGACCAAATGATTAAAGCAGGCAAAACTGAGGGCACATAGATCAAGATCATTTCTTGAAGCAAAAAGTGGCACCTCCTTTTTAGGGATATTGTACAAGAGATGCCCACTTCCATGGTTCGAACAAAGTCTAGCTTGACCACCTCTGAATGGAGTATGCGGGGGAGGGAAATAGCTCAGTGGGAGAGCACATGCTTACATGTATGAGGTCCAGGGTTCAATCCCCAGAACCTTGGGGAAAAAAAAAAAAGAAGTATGCCCCTTTTTAACCCCTGTGATTCCATTATTCTCAGTGTGAGTGAAATAAATATGACCATACCAAATTCAAAGAACTAAATATTATTTACTTAGAATAATCAGGGGAAGATATGTCTAAATCACAAAATGCTTTCAAAGAAATTAATGCTATCATTTTCTAATACATGTACTAATGCCAAAGGCTAACCAAGTACTGTCAATAGTGCATAAATTTTCCCACTGTGGAATTAGTATTGTTATAGACAGCCTTCTTTCTTAAAATAATTCAGGAAATTGCACTGCAAACTGTGAATTATACACTACTTCACTATTCATAAAAAAAGCAAACAAATGACAAATTTAAGCAGAGCTCCAAAACTAAGTACAGTAAATGACCTCAAACTTTTAGCCCTTAAATCAGCAGGTTCTCACCAAACATGAAATATCAACTGCATGGCATTTTAAGGGAAAGAAAAACAACTGACAAGTAGAGTAAATGGTGACCCTTAATGGCAGATTCGTCAATTTTTTTCCTAAAAATTTAAATTGCTAACTGATTAAACAGGAAGGAAAGAGTACCGGGTAGACGGAATCAGGTTGAGTATCCCATTGAGAACATAGCTGAACTCCGCATGCTCCTGAGTGACGAGGGCCACCAGACCCTCACAGCAGGCTGTTCGAACCACAACGTTATCGCTGCAACACTTCTCCCACAGCAAGTTCAGAGCAGGAGTCTGAAATCAAACCAGTGATTAAAACACATGTCTGATGAGCAGCAGGGGCCCACACACCCCTGGCCATTCATCAAAGTGTAATTCGTTCACAGTAGGCTAGCCTTCCTCTATGGAAATGATGCCATGTCACACCATTTGTAGAATACAGTCGGTTTTCCAAGAGAGGGAAGGATGTGTTCTGATACAACAGCTCTCTCTCACCTTTGTGTCTTTCCTGCACAATAAGGCTGGCTGCAGAGGTGTGACTGGAGTTTGAGCAACAAAACCATTCGGAGATCAAAACTGCGATTGGCTCTAGCACCGCCCTCCAACCAAGTCGTTTAAACCGGACACCAACAGGATCAGCACATCAGAGGGACTAAGCTGAACCCCAAATCATGCCTATGCTCCAAGCCCTGCATGGCAGTGATAGCTTCAGAAAATGTTCCCGCTCTCTTCCCACCAAACTCTATCCCCCACATAGACCCCACTGTCCCCCATAATGTCCCTGCCCCTATCGACTGTCACTGGATGTGGGCCCAGAGGAAGGAGACAGAGGTAGGACAGGCTACGAGCAAGCTGGTTCCATGACTACCCACAAAAGCCTAGGGAAACTGTTTCGGCCAAGGAAGAGACTGACTTTTTCTCTCTCACACTGTGAACCTGTCATCTTTGATAGAAAAGCACCAGAAAGACACATAAGTAAATTTAAGTTCTTTATTTTGAAAAATCCTATAAAAGCAGAGGTCTAGCTTTCCTAACTTCCTCAGGAACCCTCCTAAAAAAAAAGATTCACTACTAATGATAAATCTATTTCTGAATATATTACAGGTTTAGTCCATTTAGATTTTATATGTGGTTTGGGGAATTTTGTTTTTGTTTTTGTTTCATTTTGGTTTTTTTTTTTAAGAACATACAATGAAGCTATTTTTTTCCTTCCTCCTGACATGATTTATTAGGAAAACATACAATCTGGAGAAAAAAAATCAAGATCCCCAGCTTCCACAGAATAACTAAAGGAATGAAAATCCACATTCAATTGTGCCTACTTTCCCACTGTGGCTGGCTCTGAGAGCCTTTTCAATCTTAGGATCTCACTATAACAGAACAATCCAGTTAACAGTCACTGCAAGAAAGAAACGTTTCTAGTCCATTTATTTTATTCAGAAGGAAATTTTATTCACCTGCATGGACAATACCAAGGGGTTCTAAAAGTCATTACCCCATTACTAAGCCAGAATAACAAAATAAATGAATTTTAAAAATGTTGCCTCAGGTAATACTGTGTCCTCATGGAAGTAAGCATCCATTTATCAGGAGTAGAGGAAACATTTAGTTACAGGGATTTGACATTCAATAAATCCTGGCAGTTTAAGTAAAACCACTAGATCTTCTCAGAGTACATAATGTGATTATAGGCAGGATTAAGATCAGGGTTCTTGGAAAACCTAATTTATATGACTACATACAAACACCAGATAAATGCCAATTAGTGAAGTATGCCCTACACTGACTTCAGTATGTCAGCCAAAGCTGTAATGAAATGAAACTTGGAGCAGCTAATAAATAGGAATGTGAGAGAAAGGAAATACATTTCTGTTATGAAAAAAAAAATCTTGTTTCCATCACCTATATTCTCCATAGAGTTTACCTTAGAGGACCTATCGAAGCAGAGTTTTCAATCAGCATGTCAAAATACACCAAAACCCAAGTGGTAAACATCTCATTAAGCACTGCTTCAACTCCTTGCATTCATCTGTCTCATGTGTGGTATAGAACTTTTTTTCCAGCTCCATCTGTCAAGGCATGACCTTTCCGACTGACAACTCAAATTTGGGGCTACCTAAAGTATGAGAAATCTCCTGCACCCAAGCAAAGCCACTGTGCTCAATTTCTCTATTAAACAAAAATATTCCCTCAGCGGTAACCCTATCACAGCTTTCTCTGAAAGCATGCCTACCATCATTCCACCCATGTTATTTTTCATTAATAGTCATAAGAAGACTCCCTTTGACCCCTTCCATATCTCATTCCTGGAGTCTGTTGTAACAAATTTAAAATTTGAAAGAAAAACATGGCAAAAAAAAAAAAAAAAAAGGCAATGAGCTCCTCAAAGTTAAAAATCATTTCTGTAGTGACTGAACTGTGAGGAAAACAAAAGAAGTTCATATGTGGTCCAACTAGGAGCCATATCCGAATAGAACTAAAGCACAAAGTTAAACACAGACCTGGTTTGTGGACTGGTGGATCTTTTCTGAAAAAACATTTTCCTTTAGAACTGCAGCAATAAGATGACCCACGGCCTAAAACAAGAAACAAAAGAATGAGTACATTCCCTCAGAAGTTCTCTCTCAGTAGTGAATTTGAAGTGAACTAATAGCAATACCAGTTCATGTAAGAATGCCAGGCAACTGGTAACAACATTGCCATTCACCCAGTGTGCACTATGCAGAAGCACTGAATTTGGCACTCCGCATACATCATTTCTTATCTTCATAATAACCCTCCAGGCCAGGTAAGCTTTTTTATCCTATATTTCATCCCAATAAGCAAACTATGGTTCATAGATGTTAAGAAAATTGCTGGATTTTCAGTTCAAATTGCTGTCACTTAGTATTAGAATTTAAATTGAGATTGCTTAATCCATTAGCCCACGAGACAAATGAGAAATTCCACAGCTTTTAAAATCATCTTTGCATCTAAATGAAACACATCATGCTTCATCATGCCCCTAATGAAGATGGAGAAAACTCATCCCCATCTTTATGACTATGGCCCACACAGATCCGAACCAACAGGTGTCCCCCCACCAACATCATTCTCCCTCCTCTAGGCTGTATGATTAAATTTCTTTATTGGTTTCTCATAGGTTTCAGCTCCTTAATAAGTTTCAGTCTCATAAATCTAACATTTTCCCATATCCTTCCTTGGTCAAAAAACCCCAAATTAAAAGATTCTTATAGGAGTGCTGATTCTATAAATACATAAATGTCATTACCTCCTACACCTCAGCTTCATTCTCCTAGTTCTTCAGCACCACCCAGCACTGCTGTCTTAGAGCCACAGGCTAGGAACAATGACAGCCATTCTGCGTATGGATTGCGGGAGACTCTGCTACTACAACAGCTGTTCATCCTGCACTTGAGACCAATGTCCGCTATGCTTAAGAACACCTGTCAGTCTTGCAAAGTCTCCAGAAAAGCTCAAATAAAAACAGCACCTATTCCTTTGATTCTTTCTGTATTTTACACATTGGAATTGATTTAAGACCTTAATGCTTAATGGTTTCAGTTTTACGATACAAGTCACTCATTTACATGAATTTTAAGTTTAGATCAATAAACCGCCCCTTACCTCCCAGGTAAAGGGAAAGTAACAAGAACTGAGGACCAGTGAACAGTTTCAGTACCTGTTTACAAAATATACCATATTTCATTGAATGTTAACTGGCCATCAACTGCAAGATTCACCATCATGTTAGATACCACTAAGAAAGAAAAAAAGGCTGCCAATTAATCTGTGTTATACAACGCTTCTTATAAATTTTTAATTTTGTATTAGTGAAAGAGCTCTTGCAGACTCTTAGAGAATCATGGCCAAGTTCATAAATGTGCAGGCAATACCAATTATATAATGACTGTTGCCATCAATTACTAGATGCAACCCAATTTCACAGATGTTAAAATGTGAAAAAATGTGTGTGAATCAATGAAATATGGTGCTAACACTAAGCAGTGGTTACAAAAGAACAATAAGTATTCACAGAGAACAGGGCACAATTGCAAGAACCTAGTAAAACCAATACGAAACACAACAAGGACAAAAATGCTACTGTTCATATTTATATTTAGAAAGAGGACTCAAAGAAAACAAGCTTAATGATAAACACCCCCCTACTGCCCACCAAATTCAATTTCTCTAATTAACCTTTCAATTTTCCCTCTAACAAATCAGAGAATATAGCCCAAATTGATTTCAAAATACAAAATACAAGCATAAGCCAGCCTATATAGCTACTCAAGTTTTCCATAACACAATAATTTAAATAGGCATCCTACACTAAACAATATATGTTCACTTTTCACTTAATTTAACAGTAACACACATAGGCATTTCCTGCTTTATCTATGCAAGTGGCGGGACTCCAGGCACAGAAAAATGAAAATTGTGGGCAGTGTCCTCCAAGCCTTCATCTTCTTCTTCATGGTCAGCACCTGTGCTGCACAGGATATGACTCCAACCCAGTCAGGTAGAAGGGAATCTTGCATAAGGAGTGTTCTACTCCTCATGGAAGGGTTCCCCACTACCCAGCTAAGTCAATTCCCACAGCAGGCATCTCCGAAGTCAACTGCGGAAAGTATCCAAGACGCTGTACGTTAAGTCTTCAGGCAGGCGTCTGCTGGTCCCTTAGCTTTAGTCTCACAAGAAAACACAGTAAGCTGTCATGGCACCCTGATTAACCAGAATGCTTCTCTGGTTAGCTGAAGGCTAACTAGAAAACCATTTTTTGTTTTAACCCTAATAACTGAAAAATTCTTCTAAAATAAATTATCACAATCTCCTACTTGAATTAGCATATAAATTCAAGAGGATATTTTACTTACTGAATGTCAGTATTATAAAAATCTGTTATTCTTAACAGCTGTACTGGGGTAGAATATACCTTTTTAAGTGTTACTCTCTCATTCTCTGTAGATGTATAACCATTTACTTAACTAATTATATACAATAATTAATTATAGACCAAAAAGAATACATTCAGGGGTTAATCAAGGTTTTTATCTCCAAGAAGAAAAGTATGACAGAAATAAAAGCAGAGATTGGTCAATTTCAATATTACTTTCCTATGTCAAATATAAATTTTCAAATTAACTGATATAAAACTTTTTAAATAATATATATCACTACATATAGATGAATAAACTATTTAACATTAAAAATATAAAGATCAATTAACAATCCACCAAAAAGTTTCATTACCATGAAGCATAAATAAATAAATAAACAAACAAACAAATAAATAAAATAAATTACCTGTGATTGGATAAGAGAATTTGGAAATTCAAACCTTTTCCTGATATCATCTGACATTTTTGTTTCTCTTACATGTATGTATGCAGATTCTGTAACCAAACAAAAGAACAGTTGGTCAGTCCAGAAAAGGAGTTCAAAGCAATGATTTGTCAAATAACATGAAATTCATTCATTCCAAAGACAACAATGGAAATAAAGCATAGGGCATACCCTTCACTGTTAACCACTTCAGCTCTCAACTTCCATGACTGATAAATAAACTAAAAATGCCCAGCAGGTCTTAGTTTTTCCCATTAGAGCAAATCCTAAAAAAGATGAATTCACTCTAAGGAAACAAACAAACAAACAAACGAACAAATCCAAAAGTTCAAGCCTAAATGATTTTAAAAGTTCAGCCACATGTTTGAAGTAGAAATGAATTCTTCTGTAGATCAAAACCTAGTTCTAAGGGAGAAAGAATTAAACTTTCACAAAACTGTTTAAACTATACCTCACTTTGGTACAAGCTTTCATTTAAGCATGAGTCCAACTGTAGTGACAAGTGTAGAGCCTAGGTGAGCTTTTTTCAGGAGTGATAGAAATGACCTAGAAACTCACACATCAAAACAGATCACTTGTCTTCTAAAAAAGGAATAATCAAGCAGTTAGCACCAAATTTTAATATTTAAATCACACCGCTCATTCCTACCAGGCTCTCAAATACATAAACAACCACCAAACAACACAAAACAGCATGTAAAAAGCATGGAGGAGGGCAAGGTGGTAAAGTGGAGGCACAGAACTAACAAGAGGATTTCCCCAGGATACCAATTTATGCAATCCCCATGCAGCACTGAAGGCCAAATTACACCACTTTGAAAAATATGATACTTTAGGCCACCAACTTATTACAATACAACTTTTTAAAAATGGTTATGTCAGTATAGTACTCTAAGTGACCTTATAAAAATAACAGGTAACAAAATCAAGCTCTCCTGATCTCAAAAATGGAGGCATTTTGTGTTGAACCTGTGTCTCTACCTACTTTCCTCCCTTTCTTCCAAAGCTAAACTCCCTGAATAAATAATTCGTCCTACCTTTCTTCTTCAACAACTAGGTCCAGCTTTACTCCCCTGAATTGGACATTTCACAGCACTGAAATGCTCAAAGACTGCAACCATGTCCCCTATCTAAAGCTACACATTAGCTTGTAAGCAAGTCAAAATTTTTTTCAACTTCCCAGTTATATTAGTCTCACTTTTCTTGAAATTTTCTTCTCTTTTGTTCTAAGACATCATAACAATTTCCCAAACTGTGTCCCTGGGAAACCCAAGATAAAGAGCTTCTCAGGAGGAAAAGAAAAGGATTTTGTAGGGACATATATTACCATTTTGAAGATTAATTCACTCACTTAACACACACTTATTAAGTGCCTACTGTGTGTTAGGCACTGTTTTAGGTGCTTAGGCTACACTGGTGAGTAAAATAGACAACAGCCCCTACAACCATGGAGCTTACAATCTAGTAGGAAGAGGCAGAGAGAAGTTGAAAACCAAATAATATATAAAATATGTTAGAAGGTGATAAGTGCAATGCAAAAAAAAAATTTTGATCTCTTTTTTTAATGAGTTTGTTTTTGAAGTATAACTGACCTAAAACACTATTAGTTCCTGTTACATAACATAGTGTGATTTGATATTTCTATACATCTAAAAATGATCACCACAATAAGTCTAGTTACCATTACCATACAAAAATATTACATAATTATTGACATATTCCCCACATTATACCTGTCATACCTGTGACTAATTTATTTTGCAACTAGAACCAAAGGCAGGGGGTTGGGGGAGGGAGAATTGGATGAAGACAGTCAAAATGTACAAACTTCCAGTTATAAGATAAGTAATAACTAAGGATGTAACATACAACATGATAAATATAATTAACATTGCTGGATGTTATATATAAAAGAGAGTAAATCCTAAGAGTTCTCATCAGAAGGAAAAAATATTTACTTTCTATTTCTTTGTTCTGTATCAATATGAGATAAGGGATGTTCAGTAAACTTACTGTGGTCATCATTTCATGATTCATGTAAGTCAAATCACTATGCTGTACACCTTAAGCTCATACAGTGCTAAATGTCAATTATATCTCAATAAAACTGGGAGAAAAAAATGCAAAAAAAAAAATAAAGGAAAGGAAAGCCACCAGAGTAAAGGGGAGGGGATGAGAAATGGGGGAGGACACACTTTCTAATTAAATATGGTGGTCAGGGTTGGTCTGTTCTAGAGAAAGTGACATCTGGGAGTTAATTAGTTATATAGATAATCTGGGGAAAGCATGTCACAGGCACAGAAACTAAGCTAATAAAGTGCTTAAGGCCTATCCCAGAAAGAGCAAAGAGATGATTCAGGAACAGAGTGAAGGAAGAAGAGAATAGTAAATCAGAGTCAATGAGAAGGCAGACCATAAAAGGCCTTATAGGCCACTAGAAGGACTGATGCATTTATCCTGAGTGAAATGGTTAACCACTATAGAAAAGAAAAAAAAAACCTGGTAAAATTTTAATAGAATTACTTGAGGTGAGAAGTGGTCAGATGCTAGGTATCTTCAAAGGTAGAGCCAGTGTGGTAGCTAAAGGATTGGATGAGAGTATAGAAGAAAGGGTCAAGGATAACTCCAAGGTTTTTGATCTGAGCAACTATATTCTTCTTTTAAATTTATTTTTATTTTTTATTTTACTGGGGGGCAGGTAATTTGGTTTATTTATTTTTTAACGGAGGTACTAGGGATTGAACCCAGGACCTCATGCATGCTAGGCATGCACTCTAGCACTGAGCTATACTCTCTCCCAGAGCAACTTTATTCTTAATCTCAATTCTTTTGGGCATTTTACACATTAAACAAAACAATTTACATATTACTTACCATGGCACTTTTTACTAAAACAAAAAGACAGAGTTGTCATCAACTGAGATAGGGAAACAAGTTTTGTGAGGGAAGACCAGGAATTCCACTTTGGACAGTTAAGTTTAGATGCCTAATAGATATCTAAGAGGAGATTACAGGTAGAAAGTTGGATACGTAAATCTGCAATTGAAGAGACTGATTTTAGTTGGTGATAACAGATAACAGTGTGTATTACTGAAGAATCTGAGAGGTTCTAAAACAAGAAGTCTGATTAACTTTGCTTAACCAAGAATTTACCAAATTATCTGGTCACAGCACCGTTTTTTCTAAAAATTCCTGTTAACAGTCTATACAACCAGCCTTCCCTGGGATACACACAGGCAAACACTGCTCTGCTGACTCCTGCTATTCCTCTGTCCACTTTACTTCTTGTGTGCCATCTTCCTTCCTAAACGTGCTCCCAGGCCTCCTGCCTTGTGCTTCTTTTGTTGAAACTCTCCTGGAGCCTTCATCTAGTCCCATCTCCAAACACTTCCCTACTCTCTCTCATAAGGCTCTAAAACACCAGAAAATGGAGATGTTAAAAACAAAATGTGTGTTTTCTCTCATAAAAAGTGTTCCCATTTCAGTGCATCTTTTCCCAGTTCGCCTCTCTCAATATTCTTCACCAATCCAGTCAGTCACAAAGTCAGCTTTCCTCCTTCCAGCAGCTCAGAATCTACCTTTCCTCTCCATTTCTCTACTCATCATCTTAGCTCCTCGTGCCAGGCTCCATTCAGTAACTGCGTAGGCTTGCGGTTCTCCATGCTTGAATTCATCCCATACACTCCTGTCAGATTAACTGTCCTAGAATGCTATTTCCAGTGCAACATTTCCATGTAAAGAATTCATAATGGGTTCTCAATAGCCTGTCAGAGTAAACGCAAATTCTGATTCTCAGCTTTTAAGTCCTCCAACAACAATCTCACATACTCAGCTTCATTTTCACTGTTGTCTAATTCCAATCTGGCTAAATTCATTTTCAAAATGGCTCCCTGTGCTCAAAAATCTGCTCACTCCTAAAGGATTTTATTTATGCTGTTCTCTCCCAAATAAAATGTCCTCCACTGTATGTTACTACTATTCAAAGATGAAATTACTTCATAGCACATACTCTTCTCTACATAAGCCTTTCCCAAGTAGCCACATCTTATAGTACTCACATTGCTTTGTAGTTCTTCAGTGCTTAATTACATTTGGTCTGACCCATACTCTCATGTGACTACTTACATTACGATTATTAATATTTTCCTGTAAACGGTCAAACAGCAACTACTCAAGTTTGCTGCTGTAGCAGGAAAGCTACATAAACAAATGAGCAGGGCTATGCTCCAATAAAACTTTATTTACAAAAACAAGAGGCAGGCGAGCTATAGTTTCATAACTCCTGGTTTATATAGTAACTATTTCTTTAATTTATAAAATCTGTTGATAAAAATTGCTACAACTGACATTTAAATTTGTCCCCACAAGTCCAAGCACAGGCAAATACATAAATAATATAAATTATACATGTTTTATTATTTAAAAGGTGGAAAAGTACTCTTCATCAAAGAAAAGCTTTTTCATGCCCCTAAACTCGGAAGGAAATTTCTCATGTTGGCTTTTTATATGGGATACAGAGTGATATAATAAGCAATATTCCCAATAACATAAACAAAAGGGAATTTTGTGTTACTTCTTTTTAAAACAAACCCTGGATAAAGCCATGGTTATAACATAACATGTAATATAGAAAAAAAAAAAAACCCTTAGGTAATGGGGTCCAAGTACAGAGTTTTCTGATGAACTAACCTAACTCAATAGGAAGTCAGCTTTAGTGTATCCAGAGAAGCAGACAGTTATCAACTTATCACAGAATATACTTACCCAAATGTCAACAGTAACAGGGCTAAATAGAAGCAACTGTGGGGTTATACTCTCTGATCCAGGCTCTGAATGATGGAAATCCAAACTACTTTGGGGGCCAGAGGAGCAGCTGGGTGGACCAATAGCTTATTACGGCAGTGAAGAAGCCGAATCATCCAGAAAGATGACTTTGTCATGAGGAGGTAAGTCAGTGGAGTAAAAGAGTATTGTTTTAATCAAAATTGTCTAAGTATAGATGACACACACCTAAGCTTACAAAAGGAAGCCCTTATTTTGGTACAATACTTTAGAGGATAAATAAGTTTTTTAAATCTATAGTAACTTTACCTTTCCTAACAAATGGCCATTAGCCATTCTTAAAACCACTACCCAAGCTGCAATGTGATTTGATATCATCCTTGATTTGCTATCCTTGGGCAACAAATTGCAAGTGTCTTTCATCTGCTGGAGACATATTTCAAGGTTAATCACAACCACTTGGCCTTTCAAGGTATCAAAACATCATATTCTCTTAGGGAATTTCAAAAAAGAGTACATGTGTTTGCTTTAGCATTGGCAGTGTAGCATGTGTCCTACTTTATTTTTAATCTCAACTTCCCTTAGGCATTTTATACATTAAAGAAAACAATTTATATATTACGTCTTACCATGGCATTCTTTACTAAAAGGAAACGAGCCACAATATGCTCCATAAACCACATACTACAAAAAAGAGTGTTTGATTTTAGAAGATTTATCTCCAACCTGTCATTGTGCCTTTTTTGTCTTACTAAGTTTAAATCAGAAAGAGAATTTTTAACGAGACCTGAAGTTTCAACTGAATCAAAGCATTAATTTAGCTTAAGCAATTATCATCTCATCTGCCAAAGGGTTCCAGCCACATAAGAGCACTTCCAAGAAAATAAATTGCACTCCAGAAGTAATGAAGGAGCAGCAGATAGATATAGCACTTTAGGTTTTCAACCTTCTCAACGGTTTCCCTAGGACACAAAAATACGCAACCATATATCACACAAAAGTATTTACTGTCAAACTTCAAATGAGGGTATAATCTGAAAAACAAGAGAAAAATCTATCTACAATTGACCCTTGAACAATGCAGAGGTTAGGGACACCGACTCTTGCACAACTGAAAATCTGCATGTAATGTTATAGCCAGCCCTCCACATCCACAGCTCCTAAACCACTGACTCAACCTACCTCGGATCATGTAGTTTTGTAATAACGTAATTACTAAAAAAAAAAATCTGTGTATAAGTGGACCCATGCAGTTCAAACCCATGTTGTTCAAAGTTCATCAATTATATTCACAAGTGCTATGGGAAGCTAGCAGAGGAACTACACAGGGAGTTTGGGGTGGGGGTGGCGGTGGTATCCAGTGGTCACACAGAAGGACTTGACTCAGAGCACTCTTGACCACCAAATTTCTATGCAGGAAGGATTCAGGGCAGCAATGTGGATGGAAGTCAGGGTTACAGAGAGTACATTCTGGAAGCTAGCCTTCAAAAGCAATGTCATCATCATCAGACTGATTAAAAGCAAACTTCACTCCCATTAACATGACCCTGTTTCAGAGATACAAAAATCTAGGACTTTTTTCCTAACACTTTATCAACTATTCCAATTATCAGTTATGCATTTACTTAGTTTCTTCATCCCACAAATTAAGCTATGAAACCATCAGCCTGAGAGTTCTAAACACATATTATGACAATTTTTTGTTTTTTTTTTAAATGTCTTATAGAAAAGCTGATGGGCACCATCAATAAATTTGACCTGATTTTTAAAATGTATCAAGACTGCAGCTCACAAGTATACTTCAGACTCTCCTAGTTGCTTCACTCTGCCCCTCAAAAAACAAAATACTTGCCTATACTTTTCAACCACCCACCCTGCTTTGCTGTCCAGTATTTACAAATTCCTTGTTCTCCTGCATGCTTAGCTTCTCACCTACCAGTTCTCACTCCCTAAGTATTTCGACACAGCCTCTCTAGGATCTAGAAGCTGATTCTATTTCATCACCCTTTATTAAATCCTGAAACCTGCTAGAAACTCAAGCTTAACCTCAGCTCTTGCTTCAAAATCTTCAAAATCCAAATGGCTCTTGCACTCTTAAATTAAGAGGACAAGACAATTGGAGTCCTCCTACCAATATGATTCATAAAAATGGAAATACCATGGGAAATTGCAATGGAAAGTTTTTAATACTAAAGCGCATATGTCAGAAAATAGTAAATTTTTGCTTTTTTATTGATTTATAGTCAGTTTACAAAGAAAATAGTAATTTTTAATCATTATATTCACTAAGTCTTCATTAAATTAAGCTGAGAGTATGAAATACTTTTATGTTAGCCACTAATTTCAAAATCAAGCTGAGGCAGAGGTCAACCAACTGGTGTGAAAGAAGCACATGGTCAGTCAGAGAAAGCAGAAAAGGCATAGCTGTGGCAGAGACTGCTACCCATCCTTCAATACCTATGCTTACTTGTATAGTAATAAAATTGTAGCCTGACCAGTTTCACTACCTTTCCTAGCCTCAAGTATGGCTAGGTATGACCAAGTGTGTGGTCAAGTTCTCCCCAGTGGAGTCTGAGCAGACAGGATGTGCCAGTTCCAAGCTGCAACCTGTTTCCTCCACTCTCTTCCCAACCAAAATCAGGTCTTAGCAACAATTCAAATTCAATCATGTGCATGAAGACACTGCTTCTACAACACTGCTGAAGACACAAGATGGCAGGAATCCTAAATGATAGCTTGGAGCAGAAGTGCAAGCCTGGCGCTCCAACCATTACACAAGAAAGAAAAAAACTACCTTGTTCAAACCACTGCATTTTGGGGTCTCCTTGTTGCAGGAGCTAGTACTTCCTTAATAACATAGTGGACCTGAGAGCATCTCCCTTCTGTACTCTTTGTCATTGGAGAAATGATGAAACAATGTCAGAGGGGTTATGCAACTTGACAAAAAGATAATCATCCTAGCAGTCAAGGTGAGAGGGGAGGCTTCCTGACCCCCAACCCAGTGTTTCCCTGGACCATTAGTAACATGAGGCATGACCAGCATGCCCAACTTCCTGCATCATGTCCCAGGAACTTTAAGATCCATAATTCAAGTGCTGAGCAAATTTAGGTGACTATGAGTTCTGATGATCTCACCGATTACAATTTACTAAAATACATCATATTGCAATCAAATTCCTGCCTTTAAATTTTAGTTCTTTCTCAGTCATATCACGTTACTTACTCACAGATTTTGAAATGGGAGTCTAAAATAAGATCAGAGGCAGGAAATTCCAAGTTAGAACTGATTACTGTCCAGGAGACCCAAGCATTAAAGAAACAAAACCACCAACGTGAATAATGTCTGATTTGTTAGAGTATTTTCTCCAATTATTCTTGGATTATCTTTTTAAAGTATATTTTATGTGCACATATTTATATTCTAAATATATAAGGGACTGTGATGAAAAACAGTGATTCTTAAAATTTAATACTGATTTATCTCTAGAACTTTTACAGTATCCAATCTATCCAATCTAAGTCTTCAAAGAAGTCATCATGCTATTTCCAGTGTTACAATTTTTAAATATTTTTGCTCCACCAAAAGAATACTAAAATTTCTCAGTACATTTTTAAATAAATATTTTATCTAGACAGAGAAAAATCCACTTGCATCACTATTCAACTATAGGTTAAATTTAGTAATTTGGTTTAAATAAAAACAGCTAAAACTTCCACTATCCAGAATGAAATAACGGTTAGGAAACTCTGCTATACTGACTTGATGCAATATTATCGATTCACTCAATATCATTACAAAATATATGGTAATGGCAAAAATGCTTATGTTAACATAATCATATAAAAGCAATGATGATAGCTGTATAAAATTAGTACATAAGCCTGGAGTTGAAAGAAATTTTAAAATAATTTTATTTGTGATGGAATTCTGAACATCCTTCTTTACCTTCTTTATTCCTGGATTGATGTTCTTTAATAAAATGTGAATTTAAAAAGTGAAAAAAAGAAAAAAAAGAAAAAGAATCATTAAATAATATTAACCCAAGTAAAAATAAATAAATAAATATTTTATCTTGATACAAAATAATATTTATTGTATATTTATAATAAAACTGATGCCCAATCATTTTAAAGCTCTTACACATCAATGTCTAATATGAATAGCTAAAAAATCACCATATTCATATTACTTCAAATGCCAGTGAACTAAAATTTAGTAAAATACCAAAGAATATATTTTATAGGGTTTTTAAATTGGCATTTCCTTCCCTTAAAAAATGACTCAAATTTGGTGCACTTGTTCTCCAAAATAATTTACTTCTTAGCAAATATTAATACGGCAGAAACTGAAGTATACCAGTCTCCCCCCAGGAAGAAAAGAGGAAATGATAAGTAAAAGAAGAACATTTCAGTGTTGATAATGGATGGGTTCACTGGAGTTCACAACAGTATATGTTTACATATGTTTGAAATTTTCCATAATACAGCTTTTAGTTTAAAAAAAAAACCCATGCATATGGTTCTCACTAGGGGAGTGGAAAAAAC